AAGATAATAAGATCAAATATAAAGGCAATTTAGATTTTTTACTGTAAAATACGATAACATGTAAAAGGTAAATATAAGAAGGATTCATATACTTATATACTTTATATATACATATGCAGATTATATATCTTTAGATTTCGAAATAGATTTTTTCTTTATGATCTCAATATAATTAATTTACATAATTGAATGAACATCCTAATCTAAGGTGAAACAAATAGACCGCACATGAGAACATATTTGAAGAATGTGGTAGCGATCAATTAAGGAGGCACAATGGTGAAAATTTTGTTTTTATTTAGTATTTTAGTGTAAATAAGTGAAGTGAATCGCATATGAAAACATGCAAAGAAAATTGTTACTATAAAATACTAAAATCAAAATTTTCCACCATTGTGCCTCCTTAATTGATCGCTACCACATTCTTTGAATACGTTCTCATGTGCGGTCTATTTTTTTCACACCAGATCAGGGTTTTGAATCTAGTGATCAAGATAGTGATCAGGATTATTTATTACTTTTTATACACATTCTAAAAATGGTAAGTAATAGGCTGCATGCTTTTTAATGTTTAAAGCAAATTGTTTTGTTTTAACCAGTTATTTTTAGAATAATTTAGAATAAATATATTCTTAAGAACACTTATAATAAAGTTATATCAAAAATTTATATGTTTTTATGTTAAATTTTTTATCTATAGCGAAATATTATTTTAAACAGGAAACTCGAAACATAAATATCAATGTTGTGATAATAAAATTTTAATGTAATTTTATTGCGAATGTGCTTAAGAATAGATTTATTTAAAAGAATTGGGTAAAGTAAATCGCTAAAAATATGCAAGTCATTATTTACCATTTTTAGAACAAGTATAATAATTTTGATCATGTCATAATCATTATCATGATTACTGGATTCAAGAAAATCTTAATAATTAATTTTTATGTAGTATCTCATATGGTTAGATTTCAACGTTGTAATAATATAAACATGTGTAAAGCAGGAATATGGAACCAGTATTGATCGTCATACAGATTAAATTCAGTAATTACTAGTTCTTGCTAAAACAAACAAATTGCAAATCACACGATATCATAAGATTACCAGCAATTGTTTATACAAAATAAATAAAATGTATAAAATTAATCCTGGTAAAAAACTTGATTTCTTTTATTAGCTAATCTGAACTATAAATAGCAGTTTTTAGCGATCTTTAACCCGGAATTTAGGGATCTTTCTGCATGAGGAGAGAAACTGGTTTATCGTGTAAGATGACGATCAAGCAACAAAATAAGTCGACAATAAGCAGTTTTATTTAAATCCTTCGTTATGGTTTCTTGCCATTTCTTTGAAGATCAGCGATTATCAAATTATTAGACTGGTAAAAAATCTGACGAAAAAAATCTCAAAATGTAAAAATAACACTTAATGCTATAAATAAATTCAGGATGGAGTATTCATTAAAGCGACAAAAAAACATGGTTTAACACGCATTGATCTCTTTAACAAAACATATGAAACTTTTTTTTTTTCGTATAAGTATATGTGTAAGTATACGTATAAGTATACGTACAATACGTATACGTATAAGTATATGTATATAAAAACGGAAGAACCAAAATTTCCTTTTATAGATATTGCGAGGAAATTGGTTTGATGATCATATGCACGACCATAATACAGTTACTGTAAACAGTAGAAACGCCAACGTAATTAGGAAACTATACTTACACTACATGAGTACACATGGCAAACTCATTTACACAGAATAACCATTTTTGGTAAAAAGTATCAGGCAAAATTGAATACTCTTAATTACTAGGCGCTTGAGTTGTTTAAAGGGAGTACAGTATGCTGTACCGCATTGTACATATTATACTTTGGTTACTATATCAACATTGCAGGGTATAAATCAGTTATACTCTGGGTACTATGAATATAGGTGAAAATTTCATTTCCACTTGCACCCAACTCACAAGATATAAATATTACTTATGACTACTTAATAGCTACACATAAGGTAGCTGCGCAACATTGTTGCGCAAAACCAGGAACGGAAGATGTATTTAAGTAATATTTGAAAAGGGTTTTTATAACTTTCACTAATCTAACGATCTCAAGAGGCTTTGGGATAAATCAGATAAATCAATCTTTCATCATGAAAGATCGAAGAAGGATCATTATAACTAAAGGGACAAAGATAAGTACAACATAATAATAATAAAATTGTTTATATAGTGATTATATTTTTTGAATGATCAACTATATGTTTTTCATTTTTTGATTGTTCATATCCATAGTCAACCATTTTTCAAGGGTTTGAAATGATTGAAATAAAAAAAATCGATAAAGCCTATCAGAAAATAAAATAAAATAAATAAATATATATAGATTTTTTTTTTTTAAATAAAAAAAATACTTTACTAAATTGTATTAGATTCAATATACGTTACATTTTGATCAGTATAAATTTCAAAGCTATGTATGTATATATGTACGTATGTCAAATTTTAATTGACAGTCTTTTGAGAGTGTGAAGTCATTTTAAGATTCAAAACATATTAAGTGAATTACAATTTTATGGAATTACGAATTCATTCATGATATATTTTAGATTCAAAATTAAATAATATAAATACATAAATACAAATTTCATTTTTAATTAAGAGCTAACTAAATTGATTTTTTCAGAAAAATTAAGAATCTTAAAACAGCGTAAAATCAGAACTGGTTTGGGATAGGGTTAACAAGAGTGTTGACAACGATAAGAGAATAGTCAAAATTAAATTTACAAATTTTTATACTCTAACAGTAAATGATCGAGACGTGGAACATTTTTATCCAATATTTAGAGTGTTTGATTATAATGCAGCATTATGAGATTTAGAGTGATCTGATTTATATTACCTTGATCTTAAAATCAGGTAGTTTTTCTTAATTTCCATTTACAAATATTTTATATTTATTCATTTTTATATTTTTTAGATGGGTCGCATGATGCGTTATGCAATTCTTCTAGTGTTATCAAAACTGATATTAATAATGAGCAAACTTTGCATTATTACAGATTGAAAAAATAATAAACTAATATATTTGTATGGTGAAAATAGACCTGATATATTTGTTTTTTTTGGATTTTACAGGCTAATGATTTTGACAGGATCAGTATCGAGATTCAGCAGTATAGTTAAACCTATCAAAACCGATACACATGATCAGATTTTGTATTATTATCAGAGGTTATCAGGTATTAAAACATAACAAACTATTATCCGACAAACTCATATGATCATGAAAAACTTTCTTTCTGTTATTTTTTTCATGTGTTACGATGTAATTATGTTTTTCCAATATTCAAAAAAAAACTTAACGATTACTTCCTACTAATCATGTTCATAAATTGTGGATAACACCATTATTGGGCAAATTTGTGAATACGGCAATTTGGCTCAACTGGACAAATGATTGTCTGACACGTGCTGCTTTGCAGCACTTGTTAGCCAATCATTTGCTCAGTTGAGCCAAATTGTCGTTATTCACAAATTTTGCCCAATAATGTATACTTAGACTTGTATAACAGAAGCAGAATTGGTATAATAATATTTTATTGGATCTAATGGGCTATTTATATTGATAGGGTCAAGTGTATGTTGATGAAATGACATAGATCTTACACACATTTTTAATATCTAAACTTGCAATGCATTATGCAGCATTACGTAGCACTAAACATTTGGCCAACTTTTTAATTGAGCAAAAGTTTTTACTTCTTTTAGAAAATAGAGATTTAAATAGGAATAACAAGTAGTATCAGAACTGAAGACAAGTCATGTACTTTCAGCCCTAAGAGTAAAAAGAATTCATGGTCAGAAACATTTCTTGAAAGGATGGCTATAATCGAGACAATAGTATGTGAACCCGCCCGACACTTACTATGGTCATGCACTCGAACTTTCGATCCCAGAGGAAAGCCATTACCGGAAGAAAGAGATAGAAGAACCACAACACACTCTCGATCGTATCCTATGAAGCTCCTACCGACCTCCGCCCATACGCCATTATATCTGGAGGTATAAAGCAAGCGAGAGAGAAATGTGAAACTGGAAATGTGACCTGACTGCAGGCACATGCTCCCGTGACCCAGTTATTCCAAACTTGGGTTTCCGGCCAGAAATCCTGGAAAATCCATTTCTGCCAGAAATGACAGAAACGGCGATTCTGGGATTAATAGAGATTCTGACCATAAAGGCATTTTAGAGATTATAGACAGTAATGGCAGAATAGGTAGATTTTATAGACAGAATTGTTATTATAAAATAAGGCCTTTTGGCCCTTGGGAAAGTTAACACCCGATTTACTAAATAATAAAATATCTAAGTCACATAAACATATACATAAAAACTACATACATTCGTTTATTAACCACTCGACCAAATCTAACACGCCTCTTTCGACCCAACGTAACCTGAGTTTTGGTTACACAGGCCTACTTTCAATTTAGCGACAGACTCGCTGATTACGGGTTTGACAACGGTTTCCCTCAACAGGAAAGCATTTGATTGGTGAATTGTGTTTGGGTCGACCTTTACCTGTGGGCATGCAGAGCATTAGTGGCGTCCTTTCACCTGCTGTTTTGATAAATCTATGTCTTTGTAGTTGAGATTTTGGTTATGTACAATAGAACCACAAAGGGTAGCGAGCCCCTATTCCCATATGTTCTTCAGATTTGTTAAATAAAGTCAATCAGTTTGTTTGAATAAAGTCAGATGATCAAGTAATAATAATTGATTAAATAAAAAAAGTCTAAAGATACTTTTTTTGAAATATCATGCGAAAATCTAATATTAAATGACGAAGAGTTTGTAGCCCAATTTCAGCCTACTAAAGATTTTTAGAGCTATTAATGCTTATATAGCTTCTTTAAATATATATTGCTTTAAAATTTTATTATTTCTGTGGCAATGTAATAAAATTTAATGCTATGGATCAAGTAATGGTTTATCTCAAACCAGTAACTTGGCCTGTGGGTCTATTTTCTACATTAGGACACTTCTGGTGAGATTCCAGTTGATTAGATAAACGAAATACTTGTAATACATATAAATTCACATAAAAGTAGGTGGCCCGGATCAGAAGGCCCCATTATAAAGTTGATAAATAAAATTGTCGTCATTCGACGTCCCAAGATAATTACTATCTTTGAGTTTTAAAAAAAAACAAAAAAAAAAACAGTACCTTATTTTATATATACTATTGGTATTATTTTAATAGTAAAAAATTTTTATAATGATTAAGTATACGAATTGCGACCGTGAAGAGTAATTTCTCCAGTCATTCCTAATAGTTTTTTTGACATTTCTTATTGTAAAATCATGTAGATTATGTCTAATCCATCTTCCCGTGAAAAGATGGGTTAGACGTTATATACATGATTTTAATAAGTAATGCAAAAAAACAAATAGCAAATGACGCATTTCATAGTTTAATAATAAATAGTAGTTTTACAGTTTTACTAGTATTACCGGTTTTACCACTATCACCAGTTTCACCAACATCACCAGTTTCACCAACACCACCAATATCACCGTTTCACCAGTTTCACCATTTTGGCTATTATGGTGCACCATTGGCGCACCAGTTTCACCTGGTGAAATTAATTAGTTTCACCTGCAACTCTACTTTAGACGAACTCCAAATTTGGTATATTCCCGGACTGTAATATTGAAAGTCCGCTTTGTCACACCTTTTATTTTTTTTTATACCGCCGCCTTTTTTTACTTAATTAGAGATGATTATTAAACAGGCCTCCCTAGTTAGAGTACAAAAAACAGACCAAGTTTAGCAAAGATGCGTTTCACAAATTTAAGTGCGTCGTTTCAATATGCAAAGCTAAATACACATGCAACTAAAAATGATATTTTTCAAATTTGTGTTTTTGGTTGACAAAATAAGTCAACTAATAAACTAATCAAAATTATTTTGTGTGATGTAACTTTGTATCACCTTTACTAAATATTACTATGCTTTGGACAATTCAAGCACTTATTTTATTCTGTGTATCAATTTTCTTACTTTAAAAACAAAAAATGGACTCTGAACAGCTTCGTATCCTTGGTAATATATATGAAGACGGTATTGGTGTTAAAAAAGACGAAAAGAAGGCTTTTGAATATTATATGATAGCAGCTGAGTTAGGAAATCCTCTCGCGATGATTCACGTTAGTGATTGTTATAATTATGGAATTGGCGTAGAAATAAATTACCAGAAATCATTTGAATATAGTAAGAAATCTGCTGATTTGGGTAATGCTATTGGGATAAGCAGAGTAAGTTTTCATTATGAAAGTGGAATAGGAGTTGATCAAGATTATAATAAAGCATTTGAATATTGTAAAAAATCTGCTAATTTGGGTACTCTCGGAGCAATGGGTAATGTTGCTCGATGTTATCGAAACGGTATCGGTACAAAGAAAGATATTCAGGAAGCAAATTATTGGTTCGGAAAATATAGAAGTCTTTTGAAAACTTATAAATCACCTGATAATATTAATCCTGAACTTAAAAAAATATTAGACGATGAGAGATTTAGACTATCTTGGATTAATTATAATGAGTTTGAAATTATCACTGAACTGGGAAAAGGAGGGTTTGCAACTGTGTACCGTGCAAATTGGTTTGATAGAATTAATAGTATGCGAAATGATGTTGCACTTAAAGTAATTCATGATTCAAACAAGAATGTGCATGAATTTATCCAAGAATTGAAGAATTACTGTGAAATCGGTTACAAGAATCTTTCGTTCTTGGAATGTTATGGAGCATCAAGAAATAATTATGGTGATTATATAATTGTCATGCTTTTGGCGCCAAAAGGTTCTTTACGACAAAATCTTGTAAAAGTGTCACAATTAGAATGGAAGGATAGATTGAATATCTTGTATGGTATAGCTTTGGATCTCGAGTCGATTCATTCGCAGAAGCTCGTTCACAGAGATTTACACAGCGGAAACATTCTGCAATCACATTTGGATAGCACATATATTACTGATCTTGGACTTTGTAAAAAAGTAAAAGAAGGAGAAATTTGTGGAATTATACCATATATAGCACCTGAGATTTTTGTGGGTCAGCCGTATACCCAACCATCAGATATTTACAGTCTTGGAGTTATCATGACAGAGATTACGACAGGACAAAGAGCATTTGATGGAATTCCTTTTAATGATGATCTTGCTTTAAGTATTATCGGTGGATCTAGATCTAAATGTTTAGGACCAGATTGTTATATTAAATTAGCTATGAGATGTATGGATAAAGATCCTGATAAACGACCTACTGCAACTGAAATTAATGAAATAATCACTCGTTGGTTAGTCAAAATGGATCAGGAAGATAATAATGAAATCAAAAAACAATTTTTAGAAGCTAATAATATTAAACCAGAACGGATTGAACAAATACATTCAGAAGAAATATATAGTAGCAAAGTATATGATACAAATAAATTTAGTAAACCTATTAGTGAAATAGAAATTTCTCAAATTTAGATTAAATTAAATTATATAAAATATATGCTTACGTAACTTGCACATCGGAAATACAACTATAGTAATTTTCTTATCAAAATTTTTTACAATTACTAATCCTTTATATTTACAAAGATAACCATTTTTTCTTCTCAATTTAGATTACATTTGTTTTTAGCTGTTTGTTTCTTGAATGAAATCTTTAAAATCAATTATTATATAAATTTGATTCTAAAAATGATTGAAAAATACCAGTATCTGATGTTAAACAATTTAAATATGTAACTAGCACATTATCATGTGCCAAATTTTGACCAATTACATAATTAGATTTGTAAAATTTATTGACTTGACTAAGCTGATGTTTTAAAAAGCAGATTATGTAATGGTTATATCCAAATTGACTATTCATAGTTTATAACATATGTAAATTGGACTTGCTTTAAGCACAGCTTTACATTTTTATGTTTTGGCCTCGCACCGCTTAGCGGGTTTAAACTCTACATTAGTTTTTTGCCCGTGTATCAGAGACAGTAATTTTTTTAAAAATTGGTTGTTACTGTAAAAAATTCTGTTACCTAACTTGCTATGTATTCTAGTTATCAATGTAATTAAGGTTAAGTTAGTTTGCATTGGGATCACTGTGACTTCTACTATGGGTTACAGTAAAGCTTACTGCTATTCCAGTGACAATAGTTTGTAGTTAAAGTTGAGTTAGTTTGTCATAATTTTTATTATGAAGTGTTGTAAAAAATTCTGTTACAGTCTTATTCATTACTCCAATAATCATATATGTGGTGAGTTAGTTTGCATTAGAATTATCGTAATTTGTATCATGAGTTGTTATAAAATATCCTGTTACAGAATTTGCTATTTTAGTGAGATACGATATATAGTTAAGGTCTAGTTAATTTTGCATCAGAATTATATGATTTCTATCATGAGCTACAGTAAAACTTGCTATTCTAGTAACAATAGTTTGTTGTTAAAGTTATAATTTCAATCATGAGTTGCTATAAAAACTCTGTTGCAAAACTTACTTATCATGCTTGTAATCATAATATGTAACAAGTCATGAGCCTGCCATGAGCTGGGAGTTTGTTTGTATATATTTTTAATATAGTTGATTTAGTGTTGTAGTGACTATTTTTGGCAAATGGTACTCCTTGTTTAAGTATCCACTCGTTGTCAATTGAGCATCAATTCAGGCAAATTAAAGTATATAGTTAATTGACAGTTCCATGGGTACTAATCAATTTTTAGGGTATAGGAATATAAGAGACCGGGGTAATTTTTGCCACAAATTACGGTAATAAGTACTTTAGCTTTTGATTTCTTTTTCATTTTTCTGATTTGTTTTTTTTTTTTGTTTTGAAGTAATTTGTTTAAATTGTTTTTTTAGTAGTTAGGATTTTTGTTAAGAGTAATTTGATTAATTATAGAGTTGTGCAGTATGATTTTCTATTGGAGAGAATAAGGTTGTACTTAAATTAGTGTTTTGCTAAAAAGATATAAATTTTTAACAGGTATAGATTTAACATTTCGTAAAGAATGTACAAACTGAAAATGCATGTGTAATGATATGAAATATACTCTACTAGCAATGATCTTCATTTGCTTTTTATGTGTATCTGTGGCGAGTAGTAGTTCCTTTAAATTATTTATATAAAGTGTTCTCAGGTCTGGATTTGTTTTGAACATATAGTTTTGAAAGATTTACTATTGGTGATAGGAGTTTGTGGGGGTAAATAATATTGCTGGTAACATGTATTTCATATTGGTTACATGTGCATTTTTAGTTTACACATTCTTTGCGAAATGTTAAATTTATACTTATTAAAAATTTATGATATATTTGGATTTTTTTTTTTCTGCTAAACATATTAAAGACATTTGGTATAAACCAAATTTTGTTATTTTCTACAGTTTGTGTAGTATATAACGGGCATTTTTGTTTTTAAATAATATATATGTTGTATTTTGCTCTTAAATAACTGTTATTTCAAAATTAACATACCTAAATTTAAATTTTATACCGATTAAAATGTAATATACATAGTTTTAAATTTTATACCAATTAACTGTTAAAATATAACATACATAGTTTTAAAAATTTATATATAATGTACATTGTGAGAGGCGTATCTCGCCTATATTATTTCCTTTTTGCTATTTTGCTTACCTATTGTATTTTTTTTACTACTGTTTATGTTATTATTACTATCTTAACCTGGGTCTCTTCTCTATATGGAAGAACCTATGTTATCCCAAACCTGATTCAAAAGACCAAAACATACCTTTTAATTAGGCCATTATAACACTTTGGTACTATTAACTCATTTTGTACTATATTATTAGTACATTATATTCTTGACTGTAAAATTGGTACTTCCCAGTACCATACCTTGCTTTGGTTCCAAATTATGTTATTGTAGCATAGAAAAATATGTCAAACCATCCAAAATGCAGTAATGTAAAAAAGTATTTAAAGCGAATTTTCGTATTTGAAATAAACTTAGTATGCTTTGTATGAAAGAAAAGAACTTATT